ATAGAAAATTTCAACATTTTTCAGGTGAAAAATTATACCAATCAAACACAAATAATTGACAATTCCCGGTAAAACAAATTTTAGGCAATTCAATTCGTTTTCTTTCCACCCAAATTCCATCTTTGAATCAAACGGACCCTTAGATCAAACAAGTCAATTTATTCTAAATTTGAATATCACAATCAATAATTAAAATAGTAAAGAATATGAAAGATGATCACAGAGAAACCCCAACTGGTAAAAACCCGAGCACTTTGACATCCAGTAATCCACTATAAATCGAAGCAAACTTACAGTACGGTCTACACTTGTCTACCCCATAGAACTTCTGACCTCAATTCTCGCAGTCTCCATTGATCCTGCTAGAGGTGTGCTCCTTCAAAACAAATCTCAACTCCTAGCTTATACCTTAATCCTTCTGTACTACGTTTTCTTGACACCAGATCCCGATTCGTGTTACCTCACATTAGTCCTTCTCAATTTGTGCTTCTACATCAGCTCCCGATCCCTGGTATCGATTTATCTCCGGTAGATTATGTGGTTTGGTGTTTGGTCAAAAGATCTTGCGTGTTTTGATCTGTGGTTTAATATGGAACAATATAGCTAGATCAACAAAATATGTTTTAAAAGAATTTAAGGATCAAATAATATGTGGTGGTTGAAATTAATTAATGAATGTTTTGGATCGTCAAAGAATTGATCTTTATGGAATAAATTTGATTCAACACACTTTGGACGTTCATAAGATATGATATATGTAGGGAAAAGTTTTTGGGTTTGAATATGGATGATAATCACGTGTTTTAAAGCAAACAGGATTTTGGACGTCGACCCGTCGCTCGAGCGCTAGGCCAACGAGCGCCATCTAGCGCTAGGCGGGCAATAGCGATTCTGTTTTTGCCGCTTGAGCGTCGACTGTGCAACAAGCTAGCAAAATTGCGTCCTACTTGATTTCAACTAAAAGTTCGAATCTTGATCTTCTTTTCGAATTTCTTTGACTTCTTCTTTGACTCTATCAACCATTTACTAATTTTTTCATAGGACTTTTCTAATCCTAATTTGACTTTGATTACAAAATAATTAAATACTAATGCAGTTCAACTAGGACTTTATTAGGAAATTGTCAAGACTTAATAGTTTGTAAAGACGAAATGAACAATATTAAAGAACAAAATAAACTGAATTCTCATTCTATGTAATCGTGTCTTATGTTTGATTAATTTTAATTACTAGACAAAATGAATAACATAGATATTTGTAGATCGGAACACATATGAGAGGAGATACGAAAATATACGCTATTTGCTTATACACATCACGATTGTTAAAAATGTGGTGGTTGTAAAAAATGAAATAGTAAAAAAAACATTCTAATTTGTTAAATGGGAAAGATTAAGGGAAAAAAACTTAAAGAATTCTTATATCAACGGTGTTTTATGAACATATTTGACACTATATGAAAAAAATCAATTAAATATAGAAAACATTACCAAATACACCATGTATATATATAAGATGTAATTATATTTTGCATACATGTTTTTTTTTTTTTTTTTAAAAAAAAAATTGCGTTCTACATACTAGACC